AGGGAAATTCGTGGGGAGAGCGGAGAGAAAGAGAGAAGTAGTCTCGAAGTCTGAGCGCCATGAGAAGTTTAATCGGACGCGCGGACGTTTCCACGCACTCGTGGAATTACGCAAATGTAATACTGCTAAAACAACAGTCGGAAGATTGGGGAGTGAGAAAATCTTGGAAGATCACGAACATGTTGTTTTTCTCGAATAGATCTTTCTAAGGACTGGTGAAAATGTGGTAGCAGAAAGAAGGCGGTGATGGAGACGACGGGCATGGGGAGGCGAACGAGATTTGTTGGAATTAAAGCGCGAATGGGCGCGAAGAAAAAACACTAGGAGTGAAACAGGCCTGTAACTGGGAATGTTTTATTCGAGATTAGGGTGGAAAATCAATACACGCTACATGTCGATATTGGGGAAAATTTAAAAATGATAAGGGAAAAACTAATGCGAGTGCGTCTAGATCGATTTAAATATATCGCTCGGAGAGAGAGACGTTTGACGCGCGTAAGCTCTAAGAAGTGTGTACCGTCTACTTCTCCCAAAGCTCCTGAGAACCAATCACTCCAGCCTGGCGTAGCGTTTCACCATAAGGATAATAATTCTTTATTTTCTTCGTGCCCCGGAACAACCTCGCGGTTTTTATTTGAGAGCACAAGATAGAAAATTGAAGAACTACAGTTCATATACTTGTACAGGCGATAACAAATGAGAAAGGTCAAACTCATGGTGGAAAGTCCTAAATAAATCGCACAAAGCCAGTTCACACTAGAAAACGTTTACGCTTCTAAGAAGATTAGACAAAAACAGTTCGTAAAGAAATGTTGCGAAACCTAAAATCCCACAGAAAAGAAAAAGAAAATGGTCTATATCACCGAGAGTCTTTAACGTATAGTTCAGAAGCTAATTTACGCCTCAAAAAGTTAATTTCATCAGAAATGTTAAAACACGGAAACTTTAAATCGCTGAATGAGATTTGCATGTTCCATGTAACCCTCTATGCTCCCTGTAACGGCTCCATGTAACGGCTTTATTGAACGGTCCAATGTAACGGTCCTATATAATGGCCTTATGTAACAGCTCTATGTAACCGCTGTATATCTCATGCTCTAGGTAAAAACGCCGCAATTGTTTTTCTCTATGTCTAAAAATGTTATCAGCATAGTCATTCGTCGAGTTTCCTCCGTGGATTAAAGTAATTGGCTCTACCAACTGCTCTAAATTAGGCGCTTCAGAGCTTCAGATTTCTTAAAGTGCTCATCTCAATGCTACACTTTGGCAAAACAGGCTTCTTGAGGGTTTCTCTAAAAATAACTTAACGTGTCGTTAATCAAAGTTTACGTTTTCCTCAAAGAAGCAGCTGCATGACAACGCCTGCTTAGCGAAACAGATCACAATAAAAGATACTCGAAACTCCGATGCCTTAGAAGAGTAACATTCTGATTTCGGTACGTGGAGACGATCGTACAATATCGTAATTGTTCAGCCGTTTTGCCGACTGAAAAGAAAAATCGGATGGGATACTGACCAAAATAGTTTGCTCTAGAGCTGGCTGTACGAGATTCTGGAAAATTACGCTTTCGTAAAATGAGAGTCCAGGATAAATTAAACTCCACCTCTGCATCTCAATTCATTTCCGAGCTAGGGGGAGTCGATACACTTTCCACAGATCAAAGGCCCAATCATCTTTGTGGCCCGCATTCTACGCTCTGGGGCTCCTCATTACATTCTTAACGAAAAAACCCGTGTACCGAGAGGAGAGCGATCTGCGAAATTAAGATGCGCGTGCTCCGTTTTCTTTTTTGTGTATTTAGTACCAAACTAACGTGTAAAATGAACCTGGCGCGTGGTCCGCGTGAGGCTAGCAAAAAGATATCGATGTTCCGTTTACCGATATGTGTATTTAATCCTCGTGGGTGTACTTTCTTTTTAACGAGACCTTGTTTGCGTGTTTCTAGTGTATGCCGCTACGCGAACAAACTAATTGGAACGCGCACGGTGAGATTAAAGCATTGGAAACATTCCACTCGACCGATGAGAAAAAAAAAAAGAAAAAAAAAGAAGACGGTTTTTGAAAACGTGTGCGTGAATGCGGGTATGAAATGAGTGGAGGCAAACAGGGACGTCCAAGTTCAACGAATCCTTAGCTTGCTAAGAACAAATTTAAGAGTTATGGAGACGTTTCGTGGCTGTCCCCTTTTTCGTCCGTCGTGCCTTATTTTTAAAAATGTGTTGCTTTATAGCTTTCATAGAAACTTAGAAATACTGATATATATATATATATATATATATATATATATATATATATATATATATATAATTTATTTTCCCTCAGAGCTTATTACAGCGCTTGCTAGACGTTTTTCAAGGCCCTTTCAACTGAGCTTCACGAGGCGATCATTCCACAAACTCGAATCGGAGACATGACTAAAACACAATGTGTGTGTCCCCTCGCCTTCTCCTGAAACAGAACGACGAAGATTGCCCTTCCTGGGACACAGAGCATCCACTCTCTTCCATCTAAACAGTAACCTAGTGCTGCTACTACTTGTTTTATCTTTCAGTAAGCGTTTTTTTGTTTTCAGACATACTCGTCTATTCGCTACTCTTTAAAGATGAAGATGCTTCTTAAAAACTACCAATGTTTTTTTTTTCTTACGTTCACGCGGAAAATTTGTGGAATGTTCAAGTATTTAGCTATTGACAGATGACATTGAACGGCCGGTAAAGTGGGCCGACTTGCTAGAAACAGCGCCTTGGCTGAGACTGGGTGAAAGAGAGCCTGCCAAGCCTGGGGCGCGCGAGCGTCTGAGACTCGACTTGAAACGCCACTCCGCTCGTGCGATAGCTTGGGCAGTGCTTTCTTTCACTCTGTCTTATCTGAGACGTTGCTTCGAGAAAGCCGGCTCTCGATTTCTGTGGCGACTGTTGTACTTCGGATCTGCGAACAACCCTCCCGATGACAAGACCTATACAAAATGTTTAGGGTGGGCATAGTCACTCTGAAAGCTGAAAAAACGCAGCTTCTTTTATTCTCGGTTTTTGCTTGGTGATTCGGTCTTCGGTGGTCTTATCGGCCTTTACTGCAATCTCAATAGCTACGGGGCGATAAGAATATGCCCAAGACTAGCCACGTTTTACGTTTTTTTTAAGTTGTCAATGCTTATATCAAACCCGTTTATTACGAACGGCAGGAAACGCTACGATCAGTTCGATATAGCAAGTAGTTCGATATAGCAAAAACCATTTACAACGAACTTCCACAATATAGCAAGTAGTTCGATATAGCAGAAACCATTCACAACGAACTTCCACGATGTGTTCGTTGTAACGCGAGAGCTTCTCTTTCTTTCTCATCTCTTCACTTCCGCCTTGTAACAACGCTCTGGAGTTTTTTTTTTATTTGCATGCGTGCAGTTATTTTTTTTTAGCTTATCTCTTCTTTTGAATCGCTTTCTTCGCGGGCAGACGCTTTGGGGTGAAAGCTCTTTTTTTTCTGTGCGTGCCTGCGAAGTGTATTTTTAGAGCGCAGCTCTTACGCGCCCGGTTCCGGCTTGAACTTCGTCGCCGTCGGGGTAACCGCGGCGGCGTTTCGGCATGGTGACGTTTCGGCACCGTGCCGAAACGTCTTCGCGGTGTCACGTGACGTCACGGGAGTCATGTGACCTCAGGGGGGTTACGTGACCCCCCGCGTGACCTCCCTCAGGACCCCCTGAGAGGGTCCTGAGGGGGGTCACGTGACCCAGGTGACGTCACGTGACCCCTGTGAGGTCACGAGGATCACGCGACGTCACGACGGTCACGTGACCTCACGGTTACGCCGACGCCGCTCGGAGGGAGGGGTAGCAGGCAGGATGAGGAGGAGGGGTATACCCTCCCCTCAGTGCTCTTCCCTCCTCCTCCTCAAGAGCTGCGCTTTAATTTGGCGTTACAGGGAGTTGTCAACGGCTTTCATTTCTTTTAGCTTTCTCCCCTTCTGAACCGTTTCTCTTCGCTCAATTTTGTTCACAACTTGAGCTTATGGAATTTTCTTTCTTTCCTACTTCTTTTTTTTGGGGGGAAGGGAAAGGCTAGAAGGCGATTGTTCGCACGTTTTTGGAAGCCTTCCCCTGAAAGGGGGGGGGGGGGGGGGAGTTTGATATCGCCAATATGTTGTTCGTTATAAAAAGTACCTTTAGAGCGCAGCTCTTAGGCACCCGTTTCCGGATTGAGCGGCGTCGGCGTCGCCGTCGCCGTTGGCGTAAGCGTAAATAAGGTCACCTGACTACCCCCAGGTCACGTGACCCCCAGGTCCGGGGTCACGTGATCTCGGGGGGAGGGAAGGGGGTCACGTGGTCCCCGGGAGGATGAGGAGGAGGTAAAGGAGAACAAGGGGGTGGAGAAAAAGGAGGAGTAGCAGGCAGGAGCAGGAGGGAGGAGGGGTATACCCTCCCCTCAGTGCCCTTCCCTCCTCCTCCTCCTCAAGAGCTGCGCTCCAATTCGGCGTTACAGGGAGTTGTAAACAGCTTTCCTTTTTACATGCATTTTTATTTAAATCTTCCGTGAGTTCGATGTCGACCATAATTCGCTGTACGTGGGTTAGTTCTAAACGGGTTTAACTGTATAGTATACAATATTAATAAAAAATACGGCGAGTTTTTGTTTATGCAAGGTAATCGGGACTGTTAATTTCTGCAATCTATTGAGAATATTCGACGTACGACCAAGATGAAAATGTGTCTAGACCTAAGATAAAAGTCTGCACTGTGGAATTGCTCTAACATTGAGCTTGGCTTAAGCACGTGAGACTTAATGTTGACCGTCAGCTCAGAATTGTTTTTTTATCAACATATTTTGAGCTTTTTCGTAGGCCGAGCTTTTTCCGTAGTTTGCAGCGGTTGGTTCTGCCATGTGCATTGCCCCCTCCCCCCCCCCCCCCACACACACACAGACACACGCACGCACACGTACACACACACAAAATCGTCATTATATTTTTAGGTGTAAGCTGAAGAAATTTAAAACTGTCTCACCGACTCTGCCGTCAGGTAGAAGAGCACGATGACATCCAGCAGCGTGGTGAGCGAAATGGAGAGGAGCCAAGGCAGCAAAAGTGTGCGGTTGTTCTGTGGGGACAAAAAAAAAAAAAGTTCAAACATGGCTAATCACAAAAAATACCGCAAAGTGGTTGAACGCAGCACGTTTTCGCTAAAAAAAGGAGGGGGGGGGGGGTGATGGTGAATGATTGAAAGCATGGGAACTTTGACGGAGATTAAAATCTGCGACCGCCGCCACGCGGGCCGAAAGCTGCGTATACAATATACATACCGCCGTACGAGTCGCATTCACCAAGCGTATCCGCTGGCTCTCATCCTCAAATTCGCGCGATATTGAGTCGTTGCGGCCTTGCGAACGAGATTGATGCTCAAGTGTAAATACGATGGAAGTGCCTGAGAAGAACCTTGGGCGCCGACGACACGTGCGCTGAGAACGACTGTGCGGTAAATCTAAATCACGTGGCTGTTTGTACCAGGCGTGCACTCCATGACGTGAACAACACGGGGCCAATGTTATTCGCCGTAGCCGAAGTTTTGGTCCCGGTTTGTGATCGTGTTTAAAGCAAGGCTGGACCAAAACTACCTTACTTCATTCTAATAAAAGTTATCTATAAACGTTTACTATAGCATTTGTTATTGTGAAATCACTCATTTTCCTGCAACCTTCGACATCGAAGGTGATTTTTATTATTAAGTACTTTCAATTTTACATGCACAGGAATGATTCCCAAGTATTATGCAGCTTATGCTGTTTTCTTTTCTTGCTCCAGAGGACTGTGCTTAATAGGGTTGTCAGCAGTCAATAAATATCGCGTTGAATTTTGTTTATATCAATATTATGGAGACCTGACGCCGTCATTAATTTAGGTAAAATGCATCGATGTTACGTCTACGTGACGACACGTTACTTTTTGGTACAGGAAAGCATTATTTTCTTTTAAATACTTGCACTTTTAGAGGGTTGCCTTCACTAACTTAGAGACGGTTTCAGTGTGCAATCACCTCTCTAGTGGTGAACAGATATCACGTTTCAGAAACACCTTTGAACGTCAAAGATGTTTTCAGAAAATGACCAGAAATCTTATAACGAAAACTACCGCCATCTATTTTTATTACGGACACTTTACACGTAATAAAATGTGTCGGTTACCACGGAAAACTATTATATTCGTCTTCTAAAGGATTCTTATACCCGGGGACAACCTTTCTTGGCAATACAGTTAAATGTACGGGCGCTGGGTGCCCTCTTCCTTTTTAAGCGTAGATTAAAGCTGCGAGTGCGTTCTTCTCCTCTTCTCGGAAAAGCCCCCCCCCCCCCCCCCCCCCCAACAAAAAAAAAGTTGTCCCCGTGTGTAGGCTACCACGAATCACTGTGCGCGAAGAGAACAAGACCGGAAACACTGGTCTCCGGAGTATTCCGTATTTTCGTGGGGAGTGTTAAAAGGGCAAGTCGAAGTCACGTGACACCGTAACTGTCGGCACATGCGTCACCATGTCGCGTGACACCGTGACCTCTCATGGCACGTGGCTACGGGGTCACGTAGTTTGGCTTGTTACGTGACGTGACGTTGTATCTCCTTACGTGACGTTACATCTCTTTCTGCAGTGCCTGATCGATGACATGTAACGCTGTTTTTCGGCCCGAACAAATAAAGTACGCATTGCAGAAATCTGAAACCCCATTAGAACGCGCGACGCAGTAGCGGTGGTGACAAAATGCGAAAGTTTGAGAACATGACTTCACCTGGATTAAAAGACACGTCAGAAAAGTTACATTTCGCTACGAGCCTAAGGCATTTATTCGTCAAGTTACAAAAATTACGTTGTGGGCGCCTGCAGCATTAGTAATATTAAAAAAAAAATACTATTAAGCGAGAAAGGCCATAATGTTTGCTTTCTTTCTGACAAGATTTTCTTCTTTTTTCTTTTCACAAAAATAAATGTTACAGGTGCCGACAATCATTTTTTGGTTTGATGAATATTAAAGCTAGGTGGGCCTGGGCTCAGACAGAAGTTTTGTTTCTACCTCGTAAAATTTATTTCAGGCAACGTCATGTTCTCAAAATTTCGCATTTTGTCGCCACTGCTAGCTTCACGTTCTTACGGAGTTTCAGCATTCTGCGGCGCGTACTTTATTTCTGCGTGCCGAAAAGCCGTGTCTTCTTTTCTCGATCGAGCTGTGTAGATTATTCTCCGAGTAATTGTGTAATTTCCGCAAGGTGTAGATTGCACAATGTGCAATTTACACAAAGTGTAAAAGAAAAGAAAGCGCAGAATGCGTTCAGTCCATTGATGCCACGAGACTTGAGGTAACATGACATGGTCAGGTCACGTGACATCAATTTCCCCGTCAATTTTAGCGTAAATAATGGTCTACTTGACGTCGTCACGTTATAAAAATCCCCCCGCTAAATTCGGCGGGAAAATTGACGTCACGTGGCTTCAGGTTACATGACGTAATCCCGTGACGTCGATCTCCCCGCAAACGTCTGCGGGAATGTTCACGTCACGGTCTTTCATGACGCTGCTTCGTGACGGTCTTTCGTGGCGGTTCTTTCCGACAGTTCTCTCAAGAATACGAGTGATAAAACACATTTTGTGCGAGGAACAAGTTCTCAGTTAAAGAAAGGTCCCGGCGCAGCGGATCTGTCACGTTCGACACGTACCACGACGCGAGAAACGTGCCGCCTTTCCTGGTTTTGAGAAGAGGGCATCGCCCTGTTTTTCTTTCCGTCGCACGTCAACGGCCCGTGGCAAGCGTCCAGCGTGGTCCCCTGTTGACTAAACTCGCACAAAGACGAGTTCTTTCAGCGTTCCTTGCTCTCAGTTGTAGCGGAGTATCTGTGGGGCTTCCGTCATAAAAAAAGTCACACGATCGAGCTGCGAACAGAGGAGACTTCTAGAGCTTCGCGTCGTCTGTCTTTTATTCTGTTTCGTCAGGTTGGCTTCGCTTCGGGTCGGTCCATTCTTATTTTTCGAAGGCGCTTCTTGAGCTCCATGCGAAATGTTTCGGCCTACGGATCTCTATACGAGAGGTCAACTATTTTATGCTACATCAGCCGCTTTTTTTGTAGATTGTTCGCGAGAGCCTCGCATTGCTTGCGGGGGCCTGTGCCGTCGCATAGAGTACGGTTTAAGAACGCGTCCGCAGGACCTGCGATCTGCAACTTAAGATCTACGAAGAGTCTCTATTGGGGACATTTCGTAAATGCTGCAGATTACGGGACCTGCGGGCGCGTGCTCGATCCGTGAGGCGTTCGAATCCCGGCCGAGGTGCTCGCAGTGTGGTGGGCCAACACCTCCTATACTCGGTTTGACATTAGGTCTTACCGCAGGGTATGCACTGGTGCAATGGAATTTTTGCGGTTGTTTCATTTAAATCGGGCCGTCCCGTAGTGGTGGGGATCGAGCGTGTGGGGTTTTCTTGGCCCCTTCGCTGCATCAGCTGCCAACCAAGCAGAGTCAAACCCGTCGTGTCGTCGTGGAACTTACTGAACTTGTGCGTTAGCTATGACCACCTCAACCATTCACTCACAGGGAATTCGGCGAATTCGGCACAATTCGGATATTTCTTTTTCTCTGCGCGTGATTGTTTTAGAGGGCGGTAGCAAAGACACAAAGCGGAGGAACGACGTGACGATGCGTTTTCGACGCCCCTTGATTGACTTTATAAGATGGTAGCTTTGGCCCAACGAGGTAGAGTGCTTAGAGCGATAAACTGGTATCCCATTCACCAGAAAAAAGTGACCCCCATCTCCCCGGCTGCCGCCATGTTGTAGAATTTTGATCACTAGACATGTGACCGTACCAAATCCTGAGGCTTTTACGGCAAACTGTGCCAAAATTTAACCTGCGGTCGCGGTAAAAAAAAAAAAAAAAAAAAAAAAGCTTGATAAGCTATTTTTTTATACTGTTAGCCCCAGAAACCAGTGTCTAGCTCCAAAGAAATACCCAAAATACAGCACTGCGGCTGACGGCATCTAGCGGAGTCATCGCGAAGCTGCCCGAGTTTTTGTCGTAAAAGCCCATTTTGGACTTAAAACAAACGAAACATAATTTATCTCGCCGGTACTGCTAATAAAGACCAATAAGGAATTATCTTTGTGCGGTGTACTTCATTAAAATCTAGACGTAAAACTATTAGGTCACGTGTCTAGTGGTCAAAAATGTGCAGCATGGTGGCGGCCGAGTCGGGGTCACTTTCAGCTGCCAGTTTATCGCTCTAAGCACCCGTACTTCGTTGCATTGGCCGTGGTGGGGCTAAATGTCAAGCGAAGTATAGATAATAAAGGGTTTCAGTATGGCGCGTAGGAGCAGACGGAAGCGCAGTGGGGAACACGCAACGCTAAGAGCGCAAGCGCACAGTGCTCGCGTTTGTTCGTGTAGTACGCAACACGAAAACTCGCTAATATAACCTTAGCGCTGACTTTTCTGCATCACCTCGAGATTTCGCAAATTTTTTTAGAGATAACTTTTTTTTTTGCAATGTTGCTGCGTCAATGTTTTTTTGTTTTTTTTTTGTTAATTATTGCTGAAGACGAAGAAGCGAAAGGACACGAAGAGGTTGACACTGATATTGCGTTGGTCGGCTTCTTCGTTCAGAAATAAATTAGTTAGAAGTGTAAAATAATAAAATAAAATATGCAACCTCGGTATGCACCAAAATATAATATCACGTTCAACCGGACATACCCACTCAGACGAGTTATTTACGCGAGGTCAATGTAACACCTGTATAACGTTCTTGTGAGTTTAGAAGCTTGTGAAGCAGGTCCGTGTCTTGATGGAAAATCAAGAGGTCTTTTGTTGTCTTCCGACTGTCGTGGATGTTTTTCCATTGGTCGAGAATGTCATTGATTGGGAGCACGGAGTTTTCTAACGAGCCGCTATATTTCACTGATGTCTCGCGTTCTTGGGCGTAGGTTGCGCAAGCACAGAGAAGATGGTAGACGCTCTCCTGCATTTGACAAGATAAACATAGGGGGGAATATTGCTTACAAATTTGATGGAGGTATGATCGTGTAAGCGCAACGTTTAAACGTAACCGGTGGAGAACCTTTTCAGTCGAT